GGGGGATTTTTTCAGCACAAAAATTGGGCTGAAAAACTAGGCTTATACTCGAGTATATACAGTACTTTGATAAAGTGAGACCTAAATCTAACAAATCATAATAACCTCAGTAACATGAGCTGTGGCTAACATAATGTGTGTTGCTTTTTTCTCAGCTGACAGGCATAGTTGATTCTGCAGAAAATAGCAAATGTGTCTGTTAAGCCATATCTATTGGAAAAGTGTATATCACAAGAGGTCATTGACTCAAATTCATCAAGTTGCACTGCCAAGGTTGATAACTTGATTGGCAATTTTTGCACTGCTTTTTATTAAAGGGCACTTTTTCTGTTCTTTCAAGTTAGTAATGATATCTTCCTACACCTAGCATGAGCGATTGAAGGATTCTGCACATACCTTCCTAGAAAAGGTCTCGTTTCATTAGAAACCTCAGCTAATGACACAGGTGGCAATTTCTCTCAGTATTATGAACACAGTGACATGATGATCTTTATTGACACCAGCCTATGAATTTTGTAAGAATAAGGCCCTCAAGGAGAGTATTCAAAGCTATCTGTAAACTACTTGTGATATTAGGCCTGTAGTCAAATAAATGTATTATAAATTGCACACTACTACAGTGTTCTAGGAAAATCATGTTTTGAATTCAAAACAACTATTTTAAGCTCCAAGTGGAGAGGTTTGGATCAGGATTTGTAGTAATTTTGTCCTAAAATATAAATACCTGGTCAAATTAAATGTGTGATGGCTTATTATGTTTCTTCAGAGCGTAGCTCGAAAAATATAATGTAATCTGTTTGTCAAAATATTTTTACAACACGAGAATCAGTAATAGTGACATGTGGAAAATTGTATATTGAACCATTTTAAAAACCAATATAACTAAAAGAAAAAAATGCACCACATTCATTTCAGCAGTTGTAAATGATTATAATTAATTTATAAAGCTATTACTTCTATCTCAAATGCTGGAAGAAGGGAGCAGTCCTTGGCTGTATAAGAACCCTGAGACTGTTTTCACAGCTGCTTTGATCATAAATACTCAAAATCAGCAGCTCAGCTCCTCACTGTTTTGAGGCAAGAGATATACAAAGCTATAACATATGCCCTAAAATAAATTCAATACAGTTAAATCTACTGAACAATTCCGGGACAAAATCCTTGGCCTACCCACATGCATAAAAGCCTCCCCAAGGTCCAATTCTGGTCACCACTGTACAAAAAAGATGATGAAACTCTAGAAAGAGTGCAGAGGAGAGCAGCTAAGATGATAAGGGATCTGCAGGATTAATTGTATGAGGAAAAACTAAGAGAACGGGGCATGTGCAGCTTAACAAAGAAAAGAATTGGGGTGACATGATAGCTGTCTTCTGATACTTGAGGGGCTGCCACAGAGAAGAGAGGGTCCACTTATTCTCCAAAGCTCCTGAATGTTCTAGGAAAATCATGTTTTGAACCCAAAACAACTATTTTAAGTTCCAAGTAGAGAGGTTTGGATCAGGATTTATAGTAATTTTGTCCTAAAATATAAATACCTGGTCAAATTAAATGTGTGATGACTTATTATGTTTCTTCAGAGCGTAGCTCGAAAAATATAATGTAATCTGTTTCTCAAAATATTTTTAGAACACAAGAATCAGTAATAGGGACAAAAAAAAAAGCAATGGGTGTAAGCTTATCAAAGAAAGATACAATCTAGAATTAAGGAGAAACTTCATGACATTAACAATTAACCCATGGAACCTCCTGGAGTTGTGTGTGCACCATCACTGGAGGTTTTCAAGAAAAGATTGGACAATCATTTGTCTGGGATAATGTAAGGTCTCCTGCCATGGGCAGGAGGGTGGACTAGAATACTTCCAAGGTCCCTTCCAACCTGATGATTTGATGATTTGGCATCATTTCCTTGTTCGGTGCAGGTCTTCGCTTTCCTCACCAATAGTACTTAGGCTATTTGGAAAATATAGCTTATTTTTTCTTATAGATGAAAATTTTCTCCACATCTATCGTGTGTGTGTGTGTGTGTGTGTGTGTTTCTGTTTGTGTTTGTGTTTGTGTTTGTATTTGTGTATTCATGCAGAGAAGCAAATAACTGAGCTGGGATGGAGAAAGGCATGTGAATCCCTCTGAAGTATTCCTTAAAAAAGCAAAGTTAAGGCTCACAGAAGATTTTTATTTTTTATCCCAATAAAGATTTCAGTAAGGAGGTGATTAGTAACGGTGGAGAGCAGTGCTCGCTCCTATTTCTGGAGGATCAATTCTATGCCTGCTTATTAATGCAAAGCTGACCTCTGTGGCTTATATCTCCTCCAATTTTCTTGCTTTACATTGTAATTTGGTGGGCAGCAGTTTCCATCAGAACTTGGAAGGAAAAAAGCCCTTTATCAGGAGAAGCAAGAAACTGCTCCAGTCTCAATAAACACAAGCTGTAAATCTCTAGGGGAATAATTAGTGTTTATCCTTTCTGCTTTTTTCTCCATTGCTATCTATCCTTCACATCACTGCAGTCATCACCATTGTTACTTAATGAACATTTGGGGGACCAATCCTGGGATGATATAGGGTGAGGGTAGAGAGATCCTTCCATGGTTCCCTTTTTAAGCCTTTTTGATCAAGATACGAAGAAAAAAACTATTTGTACAAAGATCCTCTAAGGCAGGGGTGTCAAAATCACAGCTCGAGGGTTGAATGTGTCATGCACTGGCCATGCCTATGCCTGGTTTAGCGAAGGGGGAAAAGTCATGATACGTCACATGACGACGGCATGACAACATGAGTTTGACACCCCTGCTCTAAGGGATGAGGTAGGTACAAAAAATTCTAATACAGCGGTACTTCGGTAGTCACTGTTAATTGGTTCCAGGAGGTGCAAAGAATATCAAAAATAATGACTACCAAACAATTTTTTCCAATAAGGAATAATGTAGTAAGTCACAAGGCAGCTGATACCAAGTTCTAGCTTGTTGGTTGAGTACCAAACAAATGATGAGTACCAGGACAAAATTTTCACGACAAAATGCATTGAGTACCATATTTGATAAGTTTCAAAGCAGTTGAGTACCAAGAAACCACTGTATAAGAAGTCTAGTTTGATTGTTGTCACTGAGTAAGTGCCATTTTATAGGCTTGCTCACTTGATTGTCATGGTTTATCCTACTATTGGTTTGATGTTCATATGTTGTTGTTTTTATTGCCCCCAACTGAAATTTATCCAGCACTGATGATTGTTTAGAAAAACAAATTATCCTCTAAGGGATGAAACGATTCTTTAGGACACAGTCAATCAAAATCCATGTTGGATTTATGCCATCACTGGGAAATAACATTGTTTAACCCAGCCCTTCTCATTTAAAGAATGTTGCTCTGCTGTATATATCTAGAGCTTTCAAATGTGGGTGAAAGAATCTGAATATCCAGGAGATGGCAGCAGAGAGTTGGGGTTTTCTGTATCTTTTGGAGGTTGCCCATATCTTTGCAGCCCAGATGATAACGCAGCCTCTAAAACAGTTCTTATTTGTTCTGATAGCAGTAATCCTAAAACATCTGAAAACACCACATGCAGGCGCATACAGTTCTTGAAATAACTCAGTCTTACATTAGTAGACCTAAGAACCTGATGACGAACTACATTGTTTTTAGATTACCATTTTTAGACATTAAAATTATAGAGACAAAGCTCAAAATAATTCTCCTCTATACTATGAGTTTCGGATAACATTACTTTAGAGACTAAGTCTCAGCTGTTGCTTTATAATCCATTTTTATGTAAAAGCGAAATACCACTCGCGCATCATCACAAAATCTCCAGAACCGTAAAGCTTAGAAACTTGAAATTTGGCACATATGTTCCTCTTGGCTTCTAGGTGCTCACTAAGAAAGGATTTTTCAAAATGACCATCAGAGCTTTAGTATTTCATATATTATTATTAACACGCTCTGATGCTAAGGAGTTCTACTCCCCCTCCCCACCTGAAAAGAAATCTGTTCCAGATGCAAAACACAAGCAGAGGAGAGGAGTTTCAGTTTTAGTTTCACAGCACCAAGCAGCTTTAGTACAGAACAGTTGAGCTAAGCCATGCCCAGGCTCCTTGCTGTCTCCTTCTTGCTCACACAGCAAATACTATTTCAGTTTCCATGTTTCAGTTTCCAAACAGCCCTCAACTCTCTCACACACTGACAGGACGCTAGCCAGATGAATACCGATGGATGCTGATAGGCAGAATTCCCACCCACCCCTTATTTTCCTCCCCCAAAACTAAGCCTGGTGACATAGTTTCGTAGCAAAGCATGGGTATCCAGCTATTCCTATAATAAGTAGATACTCTTCACTGAATAACCCTAAATATTTTTGAAAGATGTGAGAACCATTTGGTGTAGTGGTTAAGTCACCAAGGTAGAAACCAAAAGACCGTGAGTTCTAGGCACAAAGCCAGTGAGTGAATTGGAGCCAGACATTATCTCTCAGCCCTAGGAAAATGGCAATGGCTAACCTCCTCTGAAAATTACAAGGACTAATCCAAGTAGTTGCCAGGGGTCAAAACTGATTCATAGGTTTGCATATATAAAGTTTTTGCAACATACAGAGTTGCTTCATTGAACATTGTACAATAGAAACTGTGATATTTCCCAGTTTTCAACATAAGCAAAGAAAACTTGTATATGTAATTCATGATGTATTAATCTATGATTGATTAAATATCTGCCAGTTAGATTTTTAATCTAACAGTTAGATTTTTAATCTAACAGTTAGTTAGATTTTTAAAAGAATTAGTTTAGCTTAATTTAATTTATGCAATCAGCCATCATATTTATATAGCTAACCATCTCACCAACATGACTCTGGGCAGTGTACAATAAAAAAAAAAAGAACTGTAGCAAAAGCATTCCACAATTAGAAGAATATCAATATTATTCAAAGACCAGGAGAGTATTAGAAAGTAGCCAATGCGAACTCTTCACCAATCATTTTTCAAAATCTTGTTTGTGTGTTTCAGATCGAAATGCTAGAGCACAAATATGGGGGCCACTTGGTCTCTCGGAGAGCAGCCTGCACGATCCAGACTGCCTTCCGCCAGTACCAGCTAAGCAAAAACTTTGAGAAGATCCGGAACTCTCTACTGGAGAGCCGCATGCCCCGGCGGATTTCCTTGAGGAAACTCCGAGTCCAGAACTCTGAAAATTTTTCTGCTGAGAAAGCTCTAGTGGAAGGCTATAACTTTGTTGGCATCCCCTTGGTAAGATCTCCCTCTTTGCCAGTAACCATTAGTGGGGCACTGACCGAACTGGAAGACTCGTTCACTGAGCAAGTTCAGTCTTTGGCTAAATCGATTGACGACGCGCTCAGCACATGGAGCCTGAAAACGATGTGCTCCCTTCAAGACGGCAGTTCCTATCAGATAAGAGAGACTTTCAGTACGACCGCCATGCCACCAAACCAAGACTCGGACATGGAACTGAAAGACCAAGAGAAGGAGGAAGGGCTGCTGCCAGATACATTGCCAAAGAGCAGCAGCACACTCATGATGGCCTTTAGGGATGTCACTGTCCAAATAGACAACAAGAATATCTCCGTCTCCTCATCTACCTCGGTGTCTATGGCAAACTGCCTGGCTAACAGTAGCCAGGCTGGGATTTCTCCAGCTGCCAAAATAGAAGAAATCCCCGTGGAAGGGGAGAAAGAGGATAAAGATCTCCAAGTTGTTTCAGAAGGGCAGCCTGATGCTGGAGCCCTCCAGAATAGTCACCCAATAACTGAGGAGAATCTCAACACCAACGGTTTGGAGAAAGGGGAGCCCGAGCAAGACCAAATGATGATGCCGAAACTTGACTTTGGCTCTGAAAATGGGACTGGGCAGCACAAGGGATCGGAAGCTGAAAATGTAGACAATTTGGAACAACTGAGCAGCAGCAGTACGTCCACCTCAGCGAAGTCTGCTTCAGAGTTATCCTCAAAGGAAGCCCTGCAAGCCATGATTTTGAGCCTGCCACGGTACCACTGTGAGAATCCAGCCGTCTGCAAATCCCCCACGCTTTCTACAGACACCATGAGGAAACGGCTGTACCGCATTGGGCTGAATCTCTTTAACATGTAAGTGACTTAACGAGAACATCTCTTTAAAATCTCTTGTAGCTTTCCTGAGTTCATCAAAACAAGAGACTATCAGAAACAATTAGGCTTATCCCAGCAGCATGGTTTTCTGGTTTAGAGGTTCGGTCTTCAAAGCACTGAGGGTTCTGCGTGGACATTTGGTTGCAAATATAGGAATAAAAATAATCTAGAACCACATGGTTAGACAGACGCCAGAGAGCTGTAGACAGGTAACCAACTACATTCCAACAAGGTTTGTTGTAATGTTCAGGGATATTGTAAGAATGTGTATGTCTTAAAAGATGTCGATGGAGATTCTCAGTCATCCAGGTCATGGTTATCTCAAAAGTGCTTTTTCAAGAGGCAACTGGACTGCTCTGAGAAGCAAAACGTCTTCAAAGAAAAACCAGAAACTCCAGTTGCCTCTTGAAAAAACACCTTGGGATGTCTTAAAAGAGCTTGAAAGAAAAATATCCTGTATTTTCAGATATTTTGGGCAGAGATTAATCTCTCAGACCTAAAGATTTTAGCAGCTGTTTTTTTCCCCTTAATGGGATGGGATTTGTGAATTTTGTTGGAGGCTGTGGCTTACATTGGTGGACACTAATGCTACCGAAGGGAGAAAAACGCATTTATGCACAACAGTTTTGAAAAGTGGAGGCAGAACCATTGGATTAGTAGAAGTGCACTCTGCCCTTGCATTATGGATGCTTACTTGATTGACTTCTGAATTTCAGTGAACCACAGTGTCATTTTTGCCAAGGATCCTCTTAGTTTCCTCCCCTCCCCCAATGATTATAGGCTAGGATGCTTGTAGACTATTTTGACTGTGGAAAATATAAAAGCCTGGCCCTGCTACAACGAGGCCTAGATGGCATGACACTCACTGTACTCTAAATATAGGTGACTCAAACATTGTACTCAGGGAATGTTCATGAGCAAGTCTTCATCAAATTGGCAAAAGGGATTAGGTGGAATGCTACAAAATTAATTCCTGAGCCTAATAATTCTTAACTTTTTTTATTAATAGAGGTAGAAGGATTTTTTCCCAGGTTTGCCATTGACACAAAATTGGATGCCTGGCTTATTTATTTATTCAGCATAAGGCATATCGTACATTTAATAATAATATATAGTACATAAACACAATAAAATATAAATGTTAAAATGATCTAAGTTCAAATACCAATGTCTAGGTTTATATTTTTAAAAACCATATGTTGGAGCGGTATATGCCCTTAGCTTGCAGCCGTTCATGATGTGTTCTACAGCTAATATCCTAGAAGTCAGAGATAAAATTTGAAACAATCTCAATAGCCTAAATTTAAAAAAATAAAAAATAACACCAGAATGAGATAGAGACGAATGGCAAGTTCTTTACGTAGGAGAGAAGTTAAATGAGCTTCTCAGTTAAACGGCATCTCTGTACTGGTGATAGTACTTATGCAAAACATCTTGGAATGGCAGCTGATTACAACTTGAATATGAGTTTTAAAGAGAAGTAATGGCTTCACTATATTCTGCTCTGACTAGACTCAGTCTAGAATAATTGTGCCACTTCTGAGAATGACACTTAAAAAGAATTTAAACAAATGGAATTCAAGGGATCTGGAGACTAGAAATAAGGGATACAGGTAGTCCTCAACTTATGACCACACTTAAGCCCAAAATTTATGTTGCTAAGTGAGACCATTGTTAAGTGAGTTTTGCCCCATTTGATGACTTTTCTTGACACATTTGTTAAGTGAATCACTGCAGTTGTTAAATTAGTAACACGGTTGTTAAATGAATCTGGTTTCCTCATTAATTTTGCTTGTCGGAAGATTGCATAAGAAGATCACATGACTCTGGGACATTGCAACCGTCATAAATGTGAGTTCCAACTCATAAAACTTATTGTATACACATTTTATAGTTGTCAACAGAAAGGCGGGGAGTTTCAAAGATCAGGCAGCAGTGTGGAATCAAAAGTACATTCCATTCATATTTTCTTCAGAGACTGATTGGATGACTGAAGCTTCTGCTGTACAAAAATCTAATTGGAGAGCATGATTGATGACTCTTGGCTATGGACGTGTTTTGTGGATGATACACCCAGAGGGGTGGGGATAAAAGCAGGATCAAGAGTGACAGTGAATTACGTGTCTCAGAGTCGTCTACGCTCAGGCAAATGCCAGCATGTTAACTTCTAATAAAAGAAAAGTTTTGGGAGTGTGGCTTGAGGCTCATGATTTAATTGGAGTAACTGCCAGAATCCTTAGAGTGAGTCACTAGTCAGGCATTTGAATGTAAATCATGTGACCATGGGGAAGCTGCAATGGTCATGAATATGAAAAATGGTCATAAGTCACTTTTTTCAGTGCTGTTGTAACTTTGAACAGTCACTAAATGAAATGTTGTAAGTCAAGGACCACTTATACTAATGGAAATTGATGGAACTTTGAATCTTTAGTTCAGAGTAGAGAAAGGGAATAAACGATAGCTATGTTTGTGCAAAGATGTGGCCCACAAAAGATATGACCCAGAGAGTCAGAATTTAGAATACTGGTTTTAAATTACAGAATGGTGGATTTCAAGGAAAAGTTTGTGGGGAAAAAAATATTGTTAGACCAATTTAATAGGAGAGCCAGTTATTCAGAGAAGTGTTGGAGTTTTCTTCCTTGAATAGATTCAAGTAGAATTAACAGGGAGGTGTGAAGTCCAAAATATCTGGGTGTGATGACCCGAGGCGTGGCACAAAGGCAACACAGTCAGATAATCAGTAGGAGTCTCTTTATTAGCTCCAACTTTGCCCCCAGTGTCCTGGTTACCTTCTGGCTGAGAAAAACTCTCCCAGGAAAAGCCTTTGGCTGCAGAGAATCAAGTCCAAAACGTGGTCAACAAAAACTGTAACTATAACTCCAATCAAGGCAAAATGAGGTAAGTAGTCTGACAAGGCAGGAGCAAGAAGTCCAGACGTGAAGGCACGGCAATAACTCAACATGGTTGGGAAGATGCCAGGAACACAGATAACTAACGTCAACATAAGATAAACTCGCGTTTGCTCCCAGCAGCTGCCACACTCAACATGCATCTCTTTTAAACTCTCATTCCCAGGTGTGGCTAATGAAGGGAATCAGGGCCCTTTCCTCCCCCGTAAGCCACACAACTCACATTGCTCTCTTCTCCATTCCTCCCTGTGTGCCCTAGGATGAACAGCAGAGTCTTCCTCTGAACTCCCTCTCCCTTGTTCTACCTCTTCCCTGCTCTGCCCAGCTGGACTTTGCCCTTCCCCAGTTTCCTCCACAGACAACGGAGCCACACTCCCACTCCCTGTCAGCTGTTCGTCTTCCTCCTCGGACTCAGACTCTGACAGGGGGATGACACTCGGGATCTCAGATCATCTACCCCTGACCTTCTAATAGCGTCACTATTTATTTGTATCACCATTGTGGCTACTTTTTGAACTGAATAAAGATACCACCAGTGTCGGACAGCACTGAGTTTCAGAGTTTAGTGACCATGGTTAGGTAACAGATTTCCTGATGTTTTGCTTGCAGCTGTGGCTGGTATCTTCAGAGGCAAGGCAATCTGCTAGTATCTCTTATAACACTTGCTTAATGAGATGTTATTTTGCATGCCCAAATAACTCTACAGGGGATGCTTTGAAGAATTTGAATGAATGGCTGGATGAATAAATAAATAAATGACCTACTTACTCGTTTTAATGGGCTTAGGTGCAAATTCATCTTTGCTCATTGTTTAATATCCCTTTAAAAGGCAGCCTTAAGAAAGAAGCCATTCAGAATGCCGCAGCTAGAATAATCAGCAATGGCAATAATACCATTTGTCCCTATTTAAAATCCTATATATAATCCCTTTAATTTAGTTTAGTCACCAGTGACTTGACCTATGACTTATGCATGCTGAGGCACATAATGAATTTACGGTAAATGTTTAGAACTGGCAAGATCCCACTACTTTTCACCATATGGACATGCTTCTTATTTTTTATCGCAATGGCAGTCTTGCGTTTTCTCCTGCTTTCCCATTGGAATTAATTACCTCTTGTGCAATACCCTTGGTGATAATAATAATTAAAAAAAAATGACTTCGGGTTGCCAAATGGTTCTAATGCTATTCCTTTCCTCCGTAAGGCTGTGTGCACGAGGCCTCAGTTAATAGGAAACTGCTCCCCACAGAGCAACAAACTTTATTGCTTTCCCTAATAAATGGTAACATGTGGGGTGATATAAAGCTTCCCGACGGGATTTAATAAAACCAATGGCTTACCATCTACCTACAGTAGATATTCCCAAGGGAGAGTTTTCCAAATATGTGGAAGCCAGCTCCTAGAATTCCTAGGCATTATGGATGGGAATGATAGATGTAACCCTTCCTATCTCGTAAGCCTCATGTTGGAGAAGGTTGGCCCATTGCAGGTCATCCTCAACTTACAACAGTTCATTTAGTGATTGTTCACTAAGTTACGACAGCACTGGGGGAAAAAAAGTGACTTATGACCCATTTTTAACACTTACAGCCACCGCTGCATCTCCATGATCCTGTGATCAAAATTCGGATGCTTGGCAACTGACTCGTATTTAGGATGGTTGCAGTGTGGCGGGGGGTCATGGGATCCCCTTTAACGTCCTTCTGAAGAGCAAAGTCAATGGGAGAAGCCAAATTCACTTAACAACCATGTTACAAACTTAACAACTGTAGTGATTCACTTAACAATAGCGGCAAGAACAGTGACAGGGTCGTACAATGGGCCAAAATTCACTTAACAGTCGTTTTGCTTAGCCACAGAAGTTTGGGGCTCCACTGTGATCATAAGTCTAGGATTACCTGGATATTGTAAGGTGCTTGGTCCCTGATCTTTTGTATGGCCTTTGCCAAGTGTTCGGTTGTGTAATTCCCGTAGGAGCAATTGCTGGCTAATATTCGGAATTCTGGCAACCTTCTGTGCATTGGTTGAATGTACTTATGAGTCAGCACTTCAGGCAGCAGCAGCAGCAGCAACCCATGCCTTGGCGAACGGGTGGAATCCCTGGAACAGAGAAAGCCTCATTATGCAGCGTTGCTTTCATAGTGGCAATGTGTGGGCGGCCATCTCTGTAGGCAGAGGGGGAAGCCAAGAGAAAGGAAGAAATTCCACAGCATAACAACCAACTTGCTTAACTTCTCAGGGGGTGGGGGGAGAAAAGCTGCCGAATTAAATCTAGAAGCAATACCGGCTGCTAATTGCTATTCTTATCACAGCATAATGCTGCAGGAATGCTGGGGAACATTACCATGTGGCAACCTACCAATACCTACTGCACATTCGCCACGTTCGGACCAGCCAAGTAAATATCACCATGAACAAATGCTTCAAGCGACAGTCATCTAATAACAATCAAGTGAAACCTTCAGCTTCAATCTACTAGGAATATAAATGAGGACCTATCACATTTTAATAGTCATTATTCTGTGGAATGAACATGTTGAATCAACTTAATGGTTGGCAATTATGTCACCACTCTTGGGTTGGCTTGACTAGGAGGGGGTGAGGGAGGGAGAGAGAGAGAGAAAAGAAAGAGAGAGATAGACAAATAGATAAATGATAGATAGATAGATAGATAGATAGATAGATAGATAGATAAGAGAAAGAATAGAATAGAATAGAATAGAATAGAATAGAATAGAATAGAATAG